TCGGATCACTCTGATCTTTGACCTGGGAAAAATTAACAAGATTTTAGTAAGTCCCTTAAGATGTTCTGCCCTCCAGGTTTACTGTGCATGCACAAAATGACCGTATCACAAACATGATATGGTTATTGTGTTGTGTGTCCTACAAAGGTGAGATAACTGCACCTAACTGCACTGTAGACAATGCAGGTCTGTGTGTCTGTGTACAGATGTCCTGAGGCGCAGCTGGGAGGAGCCCTACAGGAGCGGTCAATGCCCTACATCGCTCTGGGGGCTCTATGGCGCTGACCGAACCATGATTGTGCGGCAGGAGCTGGACTGGCGGGGGATTTGTGCCACTGGAAGCTAACATCGCATTAATTCCCCGTGACTCAGACAAGCCAGACTGCAAGGGTCATTCATACTGAGCGATGCAACAAAGAAAGGAATAGACACAGGGCGAAAGACAGGTGTAGTGGATTTGAAGATGATGACTGGATTATGTTGGCTTATTTTCCTTTGATTAATGTAATGTATGGAGGAACAGCACTGCTAGTCTATCTTTATGATTAAAAACTCATAATGTAAAATATGTAGTGTGAAACGCTCTATTCTTCATGTTACTTCATGTTGTTTGCAAAGTTTGACAAGATTGCTAAGAAAAAAATAAATAAATAAACCAGCCACTAATGTTCTGTAGTAGGAGGATTTTCACAAATGTTAGGAATGAGCTGCTCTTTACACTTTTAGAAAAAATGCACATACGCAATAAACTCTGACTGCTTCCGAGAGGGAACGCCTACTAAAGATGTGCAGTTTTCCTCATGCACGCTCTGTTTACAAGCAACTGTCATCGTCCCTCACACAAGCTCACTTTCCAAGAAGATTTGCACTTTTTCCACAATTATAGACAATAGACAACTTTTACTGGAAGCAGGGCTGGACTGGCCATCAGGCGCACCGGGCAATGTCCGAAGGACTAATGCTACTGCCTCATACAAAATAACTTTTTGGTTAAATGTGTACAAAGACAATATTAGAATATAAACTCCAAGATTGTGGGATCTTTAAAGCCCAAAATGGTGAGAGTGACACAAACAGTTACTGAGCTGGAGGAGTTTACTTTTCAGTGTAAGTCAATAGGAGCCAGAGTGAGTTGGAGCAAAACTTTATACTTTGAACACTTCCCTGTTGTACTTCATTGACCAAGGTGCTTAGCGTTGTCCATCTATAGTAAGTAAGTAAGTAAGTAATCTTTATTTATATACCGCCTTTCACAGACCAGAGTCACAAAGCGGTTTACAATTGTTATTATTTTTGGGCATTTGTCTCTCACTCCACACACAGAGATGGGAGCGGGGTCGCCAGTACAGGAGGCGCATGCAAGACCTATTGTACATGTTTTTAGTGGTAGGGGAAACCGGAGTACCCGGAGGAAACCGGAGTACCCGGAGGAAACCTACGCAGACATGGGGAGAACATGCAAACTCCACTCAGAAAGGCCCTGGTCCGGCCGGGATTCGAACCCAGGACCTTCTTGCTGAGAGGCGGGAGTGCTATCCACTCAGCCACCGTGCCGCCCATATAAAGTCTACGGTTGTGTTTCCTTGCCTCTCCACAGAAACGACAGATTTAGCTTTGTGAGGTAATTTGCTTGTCTCCAATGTATAAAATCATTTAAGGCCATACTGTGGAACGTTCCAGACAAAAACAACCATGTTTAGGTCGACCCAAACACAAAGGGGACCCTCCAGAAAACATGTGTTTGATAATAAATAGGTAGAATCACTCAAAACATACACTTTCAGTTCCATAACCTTTATAGTAGATTTTATTTATTGTGAATCTTGAAAATCAACATCAACACATTTAGAAGCATGTTTTAGCACAATTTTCACAGATTACCACTTTGCCGGTTTATATCGTTTATATCATTGTTCAAATACCAAAATCATATGGTTTTGTCAATAGCGGCCACCCCTAAATCAGACACCACTGAACATGTTATGGCCCCTAACTGTCGACATTAATGTAGTGATTATGTGTGCCTATAAACAAAGCCTTCCTCCTCTCATAAGAACACATATTCGTGTATAACTGCGGATCAGCATCTCTCACATTGTCCAAGTTACAAACCTGTGAGTCTTGCGGTAGATCTTCTGACTCATCCTGAAACAGTCCCATCAGGAAAAAAACAAGACAAGTGTGTGTTTGTGCATTCCTGTCACACTGGCGTTTGAAGTATCTGAGAGAAGGATGATACGGAGGTGAGTGTTAATCAAGGGGTGGGGGGTCTCTGTCTGCGGACTCAGCACTGGGGGATGGAGGGTGCAAACTGGTGTGCTGCCATTATTAAATATTGTATGCATTATGTGGCTATCCAGCTGCTGCCTGGTTTTGGTCGCTGACACAGAAGAATTGGGCACAGAGATACTGATTTTAACCAATGGAAAAATAATAGAGATTGTGTGAGCTAATGTACAGTATGTTGTAAAATCAAATCTTAGCGTTACAATTTAGTGGTTGCTCTGTGGGTAGTGCTCACGCTTCACTTCACAGCAAGAAGGTTGCAGTTTTTTTAATGTAGATTTTGCACTTTTCACCCTGTCTCTATGTGGGTTTCCAGTTGCCACTACCCCATCACCATTATAGGTTACATCCTCCAGCACAGGGCCTGACTAAGCACAGCATCAACCTCTGGACATGGGTCAATTTCAGAATCAGGGTGTAAGGAGAACAACAATGTGAACGGTGCATTTATGAGCGTCAAAATGTCAAATGCCGCTACACTGAAGTGCAAACATCACAGCCATAATAACACAAGCGCTATGGTTCGGTGCAGTTTGTACATCTCCACTATCCTGGACATTGTAAAGCACTTTGGGTGACCTTATTCTGTAAAAATGCTCTATATAAATTAAGATTACTGGCTGTCAAGAGTCCCTGCTGAGCACAGGACACACACAGGGCGCTTTGGGTCACTTTGGGTGACGCTTTCCTAGACATATACGCCACACTGGAGGAAAGTCACATGGCCGATTTGAAAATACCCAAGAATGTGATGAGAAGGAGAATGGTGAGAATTGAATAATATACAACATTATTATACTATTTCACATAGACTTACATATGCTAAAGTTTCAGTTTCACATAGGGAACATGTAGAAAAAAGTTCTACCTGTAAACTGCAGAATATATACAATAGATTTATATTGATTTATACATTTAAATCTTTCACACTTAATTTGAAAAGGAAAGGTGATGGATGTTTTACACCGGCATGCACTGAACAAAACGGGGATCAGTCTCGGAGCGTGAGGGCTGTGCATTATCACTGCAGAGATTGGATAACGTGCGATGGCCTCACTCCGCAGACACAACGTCATGTGATTGGGGTGGATTCATCTTTGTGGAGAGGTAAGCTGTGGGCTTGAACAGAATGAATTTTGCATTTGTGCTCGTGCATAAACTGATAAAAATCCCAAAAAGTAATTGGAATACATCTATAGTATTTCTCAAACTAGCACCTGCTAAAAATACAATCCAACAACCATTGATATAACTGTTGATAATGTCCGATCCACCAAGACTGCCCCTGTTATCCAAACTGCATGTGTAAAGGCTACTGTATATATGTTCAAAGTAATTTTAGGGATAATTTGCGTTGCAGTTGTGAAAATTTTAATCTGGAACATATAAGACTTTTTTTTTTACTATTAACCATTTTACCATTCACTCCTTAAAGAGTGGATTTTTTGGATTATCTAAGATGTAGGAGCACTAGTAACACAAATAACCCCTATTTTTTTTAATTATAGGCCTTCACCAAATGATTGAGAAGCAGTTTGACGGTAAAAGTGCCCTAAAGTAACCATAAAACCAAGTGAGACCAACCAAAGAGTTATTTCAGTTCCAATCTTCAAGTAGATATATTGACTCAAAAGGTGATCTATGAAATGGTTGGAGAAACCATTAAAGGGTTAAATCTATATACCATCTAGGAAAAGAAGGTAATGGGAAGAGAATAATAATCTACTGTAGCTCACAAAATCCAAATCAAAACTCTAGATGACACCGTTCGCTCCCCTTTTCATACATGTCCGGAGGTCCAGCTCAGGTAGTTTATGGTTGGAGATTGTATCTACTGACAAGATTAATGCTCAATGGAAATGACCTTTTCAAATATGATTAAGGTCAGATTTCACTATGAGCCGGGAGTTGAAAACCAAAGTGATTATGTCTTAATTGTGGGTTTTATATCCAACAGTTACGGCCAGCGCAAGACAGAATTCACTGCATAAATTCAATCTATTACTTGAATAATAGGGGCTGTCACTTGTATTAATGAGTCCAAAATCCCTCTAAAGAACTCTACTTGCCAATCGAGATGATAAAAGGTGTCATGTTTTTCTAGTACTTTCCCTTTATGGAGTCAAAGCACTTTACAACAATGAATCACTGACCCATTCAAACACTGGAGATTACGTTTTCCTATGGGCACAACAGTAATAGGAGCCTGGAATAACACCTGCCTGCCTGTGGGTTTTTTAATTTTTTTAATTTAACCCAAGACCAGGATTTAAACAGCTGACACTCAGATCATAAGATGAACACTCCAACTGAGCTACTGCTGCCCAAACAGGAAATGACACCAGGAATAAACCAGAACCGAGTGAGAATCAAAGTCCACATCACAGTTGAAAACATTTGGAAGAGAAAAATCACATTACAGATATGACTAGAATCAAGCTATGGGTTTCAAATGAAAGAAATCATGAAGTTTGTTGTAGTTTGTCAACGTTTTAGAACAAAACACCATGATACTTTCTTGTTGAAGTAGAAATCATGTTTGTAGAATAATGTCCCACACTTTGATTGTATCCAAAAAGTGCATTTCCTCTGTCTATCTTCTATATCTCTGCTGGTATTCTTACACCTCAGAGCACAAACCAAGCTGGACATACATGACACCAAACCACAGCTCAAGCCAAGTCCCACTTCCAGCAGATTTTTTGTGTACTCACCATCTTTGCGATAGTAGTTGATCTCCACTTTGCGCTCCTCGGACCCGGCCACAGCCTGGTTGACCTGGGCGATGGCATCCTTGTCCGTGAGCTCTCCGTGGAGGAAGTCACAGGTGCAGGGCTTTTGCATGATGTCCGGTCTGGAGAAACCGGTCATCTCGCAAAAGCCATCGTTGCAATAGATGATCGCACAGTTTTCCACCCTGGCATTTGCTATGATGAATTTGCGATCTGGAAACACAAAGCATTGTTTTGCTGCGGGTCGACAGTAAAGACCAAATATTGTGAGAAGTAACTTATATGTACTTAACATTTACTCAAATCAAAGTAATTCGAACTAGAACAGTTTCTCTTGTGGGTAAAGTAGTGACAATTCCCAAATATGAATTTACACTTTTGAACTGGTGAAACAAGTGTACTCGCTGTTTAGTGATTAGGTATAAATATTCATAACATAATTATCATATTCATAAGTTTTACTTCTTCCTACTCCTTTTCGAATTGTCTATGTGTAAATATATATTATGTTATATGTTTTGTACAATGACTAATTAATCATTTGAAATAAAGACAACAATAATGAACTTTGTGATAATACAATATCCTTCCAAGTTTTCTCCGAATGGACATTGCGATGGAAAACAATGAAATAATGTAGTGATAAAGCCAATTTCTCCATGACTTATAATTTAGTATATCAGCAATAATAGAGCTCAGACATTAAAAGCATTTTCCTTTCCCCCCAAAGAGTTACAATCCAAAAGCAGTTTCTAAAGAATGGTTTAGAGTTTATGTTAGAACGGACACCATATACATAACACTAATGATCAAAGAGCTTACTGGTGAAAGGATGCGATTGTGACTGCTCAATTCTGGCAACATAAACAAGTTTAAGACACATACATACAATCACGACTGTTTTTCAATACCCAAATTAACCTGTAATTCAACATATAATTGATATCAGAAAATCGCAGAAGAAAATTGTTATAAGGATCGTAAATTCTGGTTACGAATAGAAGTAAAGCACAGGGAGGAGTCAAAAACTACACAACGCAGTTTCCAACCTAGCAATTCGATTAACCGTGGCTAAACTTGTAAAAAAAACCGCAACAACACAACACATAGACTTACTCTCCCCCTCGAATTTCCGGATAATGAGTCCTAAAAAGGTGTTTTGTGGAGCAACGTGCCCTCTTCTAACCGGCATGTTTACAATCCGAGGTGGCGGAGACAAAAAAGCGCGCTCCTTTTAGAATTCCCAACTTAACAGATGCGCCTCATGGCCGCTCCACGCTCATCCTTTCCCCCACTTCGAACGACCTCCGCTGGGTTCTTGTTGGAAAGAGTAGAGTCCTCGCCGAAGCGCGCAGGAATTTTTGGCTCGAGTTCGCAGCGCATTTCGCGAAAGGAGACGCAGTAGGATGGTCCAGTCGTGTGCGCGTCAATGGTGTGCTGTGCTCCTCTGCGCGCTGTGCTGGACTCTGTATGTGTGCGTGTGCGTAATATGCCAGGGGGAGTGACGTGGCTCCCGGGGGGGCTTAGCTGCTTCCACTTGTCGGGGTTAAGGATAATAAAGCAGCCCCATGCAAAGACACAGCGCGGAGAGCGGAGTGCGTGAGTGCGTCTTTGAGCTGCTGCGCTTCGGACGCGTGCACGCTGAGAATAAACCCACATATGACTTATTCATTAAAACGTAGCCCCGGTCTGTGTGTTGTACAACAAGCAGGGCGCGCGTGTTAAGAAGGCTCGTTAGATATTCGCATGGAAACTCCCCCCAAGCAAACGGAATATGTAATATGGGAAAGCACGTTTTCTTACAAGGAGTGAGAGAAGAGAGAGCGGTGTTATAACAGAAACAACTGTGTGTTATTGCTGCACGCATTCACACTGAGTTTAAGAATACAACACTGGTACAGTATACCTACGCATCTCAAACAAAGCCACGCTCTGTTTTGCCGTGAATAAATTGTTCTTCTCCCTTATTAGTAATTTCCTCCATACTAAATTATGACCTTTATTCAAAGAATAGGACATGTTGTGCTTTAGGTGATAAGGAGGTGAAGTTAGACCATTTACTATATGAAGAACATGGGTATTATCTGTTTTGGAGATGTTGTGTTGGTCTCTAGTACAGTGTTTTTCAACCAGTGTGCTGTGGGACGTTTGTGGGCCTTCAGATGATGTTTGGTGTACCTCTGGAAATTATCCACTATCGCCTAGAATAATTTGTGTGCTTGTTTGATTTGCTTTATCATCAAACTTTATTACAGACTTGTGCTCCAGGATATATTAGATACTTTGATGAAAATTACATTGCAAATAAAGGTTGCATAGTGGTGGTGGTGTGGCTGTTGTTGTTTGTTTGTTTGTTAAATATCATGGACCAGATAAGCTAGAGCAAGCTGTTGCTAGTTTTCCTGGGGACCATGTTATAAAACATTTAAAAGTTCATGATACAGTCCATTCTTAGAATCTCCATCTTGCAACAAAAACAAGGAGCTGGAATTACCATAGAAGTAACATTATAATACAAAGTCAAGGTAAGGTTCCTTATGTTTTCATGTCTGGTATATGCATGTTTGTGTAAGTCTGCTTTAGAGCTAAATGTGTTGCTTTTTTGAAGTAAGTAAGTAAGTAAGTAAGTAAGTAAGCTTTATTTATATATCGCCTTTCACAGACCAGAGTCACAAAGCGGTTTACAATTGTTATTTTTGGGCACTTGTCCTCTCACTCCACACAGAGATGGGAGCGGGGTCTTTTAAAGTTGTTCAAACTGCTCAACATGTGCATTAACCAAGACATTTAAAAGCATGTTTTAGTGTATAGGAATGTATATATACATGGCATAATGATTCAAATTTGGAATCCAATTACTAATGGTAATGACTGGTTATTCTACACTTTACATCAATGTGTATTCATGTTATCAGGCTGACACACTGTCTACACTGACTAAGAATATTGACATAATATTGGTTTGCACAAGATTGTAATTTTCTGATTAAAATTTTTCTTGCTTCAATATGACAAAGGAAATCTAAGTGCCAGCAATCTCTTATTCATCTAGAAGCGTATCGTCCACTGCCCCGCAAGGACAGACAACTCAAATCAAGTGTAATAATAAGATTTACTCATTGCAAAGAAAAAAATGCTCACTGAAGCAGGGACGAAAGCTGAAAGAAACACATGTGTACATTAACGAACATCTGACAAAGAAAAACATCGCTAGACATGCCCGGCTACTCAGCAAGCAGAACAAGATCCAAGCGACGTAGACGTCCAACTGTAGGGTATTCTCAAGCTGAATGACCAATTCCAATTGTAGACCCATCTTCATCTGACAGTGAGGAGAAGATCTATTGTTCAACACTAAATACAAATAAATGGCCAAAATAAAGATGTTTTTTAAGTTATCTACTCAAATGGCTTTAATCTTGTTTAATTGATTCTTGTTCTACTTTTCTCTTGGTTAAATCAGCACACTAGCAAACCCCTATGTCTGCTTCAGGGCGCAATAAGTAGAAAGTCCCAGCCAATTCTCATCGCCCCATTATTTCACCCTTAACACCTCAGTAATGTCAGGTTATTGCAAATCCACTGAAAACTCATTACCAGAATGAAAGTTAGATAGAACTGACAACAGAGTCAATCCTAATTTAAACTATTGTAAATTTAGTTATTTAAAAAAGGCAGTTATGCCTTTTTTAAATAAAGCACATGCATGAATAATTCTGTGTTGTTCCAAATCATCTAATACAGTTCTTCTCAGTGCAGTGGAACAACTCTAAATATGATATTTGTTATCAAAGAAAAAGTGGTTGAATCAGTAGCTGTCCATGGTGCTGAAGAGTTGGATGTTCGGCTTTGTGCCCATTCTAAACCCAAGATGCTTGGTACACTGAAATAAAAACAATCATAGCTGTCCATGGTGCTGAAACACATTCATTTATTCTTCCCACATTGAAAAGGTTAGTATGCATGTACGAGGGTGGAATAAAAAATGGTACTGAGTGCTTTCTTATTAACTCTATAGGATATTCCGAGCTTGAGTCCTTCTCAAATACTTGATGGGTTAAACAACAAAACATTGTCATAGACTGCCCTGATAACATGCGGCTTGCATGCATGTTTGAAAAAGGCAGCTCTTGTGGATCATCTAGTCTTCTTTGTAGTTTTGTACTGTTTCTTTTTTAAATCCGTCAGTTTTTTGTAAACCCTGTTTTGTGCAACAAACATGTCCACTCTATCCCTGCCATGTGCAAGGGTGAAAGCCATCTCGTGGGTGGTAGCTCACTGTACTCTACTCCGAAAAATTATTTCCGGTCTGGACTGCGCAAAATATCGAATCCAAAATGCTAATTCTGGCCTGGTCTTCAGGCGACAAACTCTGACTTGAATGGATCACTAAATCATGGAGACCCAGTGCTCAGTTCTACTTTCGAGTTGAAAGAAAGAGGAGAAAGAGGGGAGGGGTGTGTCCCTGGTCTGTAAACAATGACCCATATTTAACTACTGAAGCAGTTGGATATGCAGCTGTCCGTGGTGCTGCATATCCAAAGATATAATATCATAATAACAAAATGTTGAAACTTTACACCCTGATCTGGCGCAAGTTTCATAAATGAGGACCAATGTCACCAGTAAAAAGGGCGAGTTGAAATAATCAGCTCTCAATTTTTTGTCACATAGATCCCAAACTATCCCTAAATTTCAATAGCCACATCGAATCATCAGCAGCTTTTTACCATCTAAAAAATATAGTGTCTAAATTATACTTGGAGATTCTTACCATGCTTTTGACTCGAGTAGGTTAGACTTCTGTAATGGTCTGCTCACAGGTCTCTCCAAACGAGCTGTAAAACACTGCAGCTCGAGTCCTGACTTGAACCAGGAAGTATGATCACATTAGTCCAGTCCTCAGGTCTCTGCACTGGCTTCCTGTGGCTCAGAGCAACTTTGTACTGTGGTTCCAGGTTAAAAAAAGTTAAGAGAGATTTTATATTTTATCTTTTTAATGTACGATGACTATTTATGCCTTGCCTTACCTTACTTCTCTTAAAAGTCACCCTTCATGGCTTACAGTGAGTTGTAAAACACAGAATCAACATCCTAGACATTTCAACTCCAATGAAAAAAAATGTTGTTACGAAATAATAGCACTCGAATAGTCATCCAAATAATTGCTCAAATGAAGAGGCAGATGGCTCGCTGCAGCAATGTGAGCAGCAGAAAGACCTTAGAAAAAACACTGTACTGCTTAATGAGAATAGAGCACGGAAAAGGAAATCAGAGACATCTTAATTATTTACAATGTTGAGATTTAATTATGTAACCATGATTTCAACAATAGAGCTGCAGTGACTGGGGCTGGTATATGCTGTAGTTTGACTCTGGGCGGAGCAGAGACAAACTGTTTTGTTCATTAGCCTGAGTCGTCAGAGGTGCAGTAGTTTCATATGGTTCTCAGCATGGAGCTTTGTGCGGTCTGCGGAGATGCCAGCTGCAGACCCTCGCACTAAAGACTTCGAGTTGCACTTTTAATGAGCGCAATAAATGACTTGAGCAGTGGACTGATTTCATTAAGTAGTAACAGCATATGTTTATAACTTGGTCTACATTTTATCATTTGAGCAGACAAACCAAAAACGCAGAATGGACTTTTAATAGCGTTTAGGAACGTTGTAGTAGTAGTTTTTCTTTCTTATATAGCCACACAAAGTTGTTAAAAGAGGGATTTATGTTTGGGTAATCTGTATTGGGAACCATGTATTCAAGATGCTATTACTCCAAAAGGCCAATTTTCTATAGCTATTTATTTAAACCCACGCGCGATAGTTAAGGCCGTTGTGGGGCTGGTTAGTTCTACCTTACTTATCATGTTCTGTTGCACAAATAATCCTGGTTTTTTTGTGAGGAAACAATGTTGAAACATGATCAAACTCTCAGTCATTTTTGCATCATGTGTCTCCTTTAAAAAGTTTTCAAATCCCGCGCGGAACAGGGCCTTTCTGAGTGGAGTATGCATGTTCTGCCCTGTGTCTGCGTAGGTTTCCTCCGGGTGCTCCGGTTTCCCCTACCACTAAGAAAAAACATTCGCAATGTTTATGAATGTAATGAGAGAGTGAATGGATGGTGTTTTTTGAGGGCTTTGATGCAGCAGTGTGTTTGGCGACTCTAATAGCTATCTGAACTCTGAACAATTGTAAA